ATTGTTAAATTTGTAACCAGTTTGGAACTAGAATACAATGTATGAAACAAACAAGTTGCCCCATTTGGTTTTTATCTCAATCTCAAAAGATTATAAAACACACTTGATCGAGCAAAATAATAAGAATTCTTGTCATATTTCAATTATGCACATTCGTGGACTGGTATTGCCGTTTTGGATTGAGTGGGACTTCGGAGTATTAATGAAGTATCCCCTTTTGCTTGGACAGTCTGGTTGGAACCATTATTATAATGTGGGTTAAAGCTAAAGGTGTATGTACCAAAAAAATTGTAAAGATTTAAATTTGGTTTTGGGATCATAAATTGGGTGTAGTTAAAGTAATAAACATTGAGATGAAAAATAAGGTGGAAATCTGCGGTAGAACTTTTATATAACCCGGAAAGTATTGTATGACTTACCGAAATTTTCTTGAATGAAAGGAAAGTAAACATTTTTATAATAGCATGCATGTTCATTTGTATATCATAATAGTTACTTAAGTGGTTGCAATTTTATAAAACTGCATTCCGAATGCGTGAAGAATATCTTATATCGCTGTTTTTATTGGGCAACACCAAAATAAGAAACGGTTTCTGCTGCATATTAATCCCAAAAGTTCATCAATTACCCCTTTTAACACATAAATAAATGATTCTAACACTCATTCAAAACAAGATTCTGAGCTGTCAATTGCTTCGGTTCATATTTCAAGAAAAATAATATTAAATAAATAACATCTAGGGATGACTATTACTTTCTTTTTTAGCAGTTTTAATTATGGGATTTGATTTTCTTATGTTAAATGAGAATTCAATTCTCATGTTGTAGAGATAAAAAATATGTGGGACCCATGTGTTAGAAAAAATTATATGTAGGACTCATATCAGTACGGAGATCGAAAGGTGTGTAGGAAAATTTGAATTCTCATATTAAACAAGAATTATAAAACCCTTTAATTATATGCCTTATTCTGCTATTAATTGGCTACATAAAACCGTGAAGTTATTGCTGAAAATTGTAGCATTAAAAAAATGGAAATTCTTGACATGCCTTGACCTATGACTCCCGCTGCTGAAATTAATGGGTGGCGGCATAGGAGATCAATACCTTTAACCCTCTGAAAGGCCAATTATGAACCCCAAATTACCATTTTGCCCCGATTGAAGTTTCTCTCTATTTTATTTTTTTTGTCTCATTGTTATGTTGGGAAATCCATGTTTTCATGCTTTTTCCGAACGTAATCAGAATCAAGTGAGACGACTTTATTTAGAAAATTAACGGTTACTTTAATATGATTTCTCTTCCATATTTGATTTATTTAGAAATAATTGAAATCGTCTCATGTGATTTTATTACATTAAATAATACATGAAAAGTTTATTGGATAAGACAATTCATACGATTATGTGTGAAATGAAATAATTAAAATGTTATAAAATTGAATAAAGTTATTATATTATATTTTTTTTATGAATCACTCCTTTGATATTATATATAGGATAAGTAAAAGTTTTATTTTATTATTTAAAAAGCAAACAAGATAATAAAAAGGAAAAAATATTTCTACAGTTACTGCAAATAAGTTATCTGTATTTACTTTTAAAACGACGTCGTTTTGAAATTGAAAAATTGAATAATTATAATTATAAAGACTATAATATCCTGAAATAAATTAAAATTATAAAAATACCATGATTTTCACTTCAAAACGACGTTGTATTAGACTTACTGCAGATAACTTATCTGCATTAACTGCAGAACAAGCGAACCCAAAAACTAATGAATAAAATTTAGTTCTATTTGATATGTCTCAATTTAGAGGAAAAAGTAAAAGTATTTCATAAATTAAATAAATTCTATTTCATAACAATCCAGATAATTAATGTTATTTTATTTTATTTTTGGATAGGATATTATTCCTTTTTCTTACGCATATTCTATTTATTTCTCTCCACCACCATTAAATTAAAATTGTTAACTAACGGTGTTGAATAGAAATAGTAGAACATGCATAAAAAAAAATAAGCATAATATCTCATTCATTTATTTTATTATATATTTTATCGATTCAAATATAACCTTAAAGAGTACTTAACTAAAAATACAAAAGTTTGTTCACTCAAAACATTCACTGTAATTAAAAAAATGCAGATTCATTAAAGGATAATACATGAAACTAAAAATGGACGTAGAACACAACTTTGAGGTGAGTCAGCAACAAAAACTATATAAGCTGACTTTTGCTGTAAGGAATATTTTATTTTCAACTATACTATATTTTTAAATTTTCGTTTGATATAATATGATTGATAAAAGTTGATAAATTATTTAATAATCATTCAATTATTTTAAGAATAATAGACTGCATTTTAAGAATAATAGATTGCATTCTTAATAAATTTTTGTTTTTGTTTTTGTTTCGGTAAGCAAAACCCATAAATTTTTGTTTTCAAGTTTTGTTTAAGTTAAATGTTTTAAGAATAATAGTTACTTTTTCTAAAAAAAATCTTAATAAAAAAAAAACAAATAAAATGACACAATATATACCTACAAATTAGTGATTCATAGAAGTAAAAAAATGATTTTTCAAAATATAAAAAAGTCTTATTACATTGATATTTACCTCAAGAAAAAAAATTAACTTTTTAAAAATATATCTTGTAAATTAAAAATAATAATATTTAATATAAACAAATATTTCGCTGTAAGTAATTGTTGACTTTTATGTATACATGTGTTCATGCCATTCTGATACATTTTTTTGAGTGATTTGTGCATTTGCAATAATTCCTAGCTAATAAAGGGTCAATAAAAATAGATTTTGACATACGAATAAATAATAATTTGTAACTCGTGAAGTTCAAGCAAAACAGCTATACGGAATAAAAAAAATTAACTATCATAGCTCATAAAATACACCCTTTCTGTTTTCATTTATACATGTTACATAAACGTTGAAAAATTAGTATAGAAATCGTTTACAGTTTTTTTTTAAAAAAAATTTTATTTAAAAGTAAAAGAAAATTGTATATGTTATGAACTGGATCCATGTCTCAATAATTTATCCAATATAAAACTGAGACTTATCCTAACAATATTTAAACTAGCAGATGATAATTCAATCATCCTATTCCAAGGAATCACACTTCTATTAAGGGTGTGTTTGGTACAGGAGAAATTTTTTGGTGACCGGGAATCATGATTAATGGGAATTCAGTAGAAATTGAGTTTACTTGGAATCTTACGAAAGATGTGTTTGGTTCGCCAAAATATTACCGAGAATATTGGGTAAAAATTACTGATTCCATATTTGGTTTAGAACGAAATATGACTTGGAATATGAGGTTATTTTACAAAAATAACCCCAAACTATTTTTACTTCTGTAATTGATAGATTGGGTCTAGATTTTTATGTGTATTGGGGTATTTTTGTCTCAAAATTTATTGTTGTGCTTTCCTTTCACTTGGTATTCTGATTGGTATTCCGAATTACCATATTATTTTTGGTAATCTGAATAGTGACTTTTCTTTATAAATCAAATTACCGGTAATCCTTGGATATCCGGGAATCGTAATTTATTCCTTCTACCAAACGTGGTAATTACATTTACCAAAGAAGGATTACCGGTAATCCTCTCCAAAAACTTGAACCAAACACCCACTAAGAGTCTACATTTACAGATAACTCCTCTTATAAATAAAAGATTAAAGTCTCTCAAATACACACTTCTGAACTCTTTTTGTTTTTTTTTGGAGTTACACAACCCTAATTATCTCTTTGAGACGAGTTGGCTCTCTCCGGTATCCCCACGAGCTTCGACTCTTTGAGCCGGCTATGGGACTAATCCGGAGTGCGGGGGAACAGTGATGGCTAAAGGTTCATCCCCCTCCCCAAGAATGCATTCAGCAGGAATCGAACACATATCCAACCCACTAACTCAGCATCAAATTACCAACTGAGCTGCTCACACTTCTGAACTCTTCATCTATTGATGTTAATACTATGCATACACTCATATCTTAATTATTTGTCTATTATAAACGTGCAGTTATTGATACATTGGTTTTGAACAAATTAAATATCTCTCTCATAAATATTTTCTGAGCGATTGAGAATTGCACCTCGTGTAGTTCAATGGAAGTTTAGAGGATCAAGATACTAAATCTAAACAAGTTCGAAATAGGATTATCCAAATTCCAGTGTCGAAGAACTTGATGAGTCTCAAGATAGCAAATGAGTCTCCAACAAAAGAAAATAAATTAGAAAGTTACTTTATTAATTTGATTATTTAAATTTTTGGATTCTTACCAGAAGTTTGATTCCCAATACAAAGGTGGGAATAAATTTTTGCCTATTCATTCACCAATTTTTATTCCTAAGTAACTTTTATGCCTAATTTTTTTTTTCTTCATTTATATAACAAGTACAGAAAACTTTATATTTCTATCTCATTAATCTACCATGTCATCTTTCAAGAGCACGCAATGCATTCTCCTTCAACATTATCTTTAGCCCCCAAAACGACACACGTCCCAAGCAGAAAGAAGTTCCAAAAAACTACACGTGGGGGACCAAGACGTGCTCGCATAGAAGAAACTCAAAGTCGAAAATAAGGAAACCATTAAATAAGTGAATCGGTGGGTTGTTGGTAAAGGCAAAAAGAAAGGGTAAAACCGGAAATCTAAAAAAGTTGCATGCAAAAACACCGATTTTGAGGACAAAAGTATGAAGACATTTGGCATGAGATTGCAACCATTTATTACCAAGAACCTCTCTGTTCTATATCCCCTGTTTCTCTCTCTTTCTCTTTCTCTTTCTCATTCTGTATAAACAAAACACAAGCATGGTTTCTGCTACCATGGAACTGTGCTATATATAGGTAGAGAAGAGATAAGATTTGGGGTTGACCAAGAGGGCAAGTTTAAGAAGATAACACACTCTAATGGGAAGAGGTAGATGGAGTTGTTGTGCATGGTGGGGTTCAGAGTCATCAGCATCCATGAAGCTCTTGTTGTTCATGGTGCCTCTCATACTCGTTGCAGGGCTTGTTTCAATATCGGGTCCTAACCCTTCTAGTACTAGCTCACATCTCTTATGGAGCTTTGTTACTCCATCTTCTTCCTCAAGTACTAGTGGTGGAGCTGATATTTCTGTGATCATTGTGGAGGCCCCACCTGTTTCATCTGAAGTGAAACAGAGAGAAGGGTTAATGGTGGTGGCCATGGATTCTCACGGCAAGGAAGAGAAAGCTATCTCCGATGACACTTCCTTCAATCACTCATCTACTCCACCACTTTCCGTTCAGGCCATACAAACTCCTCAACAACCTGTAAGAGCTTATTTTCTTTTATTTCACTCCTTAAATTTCTGATTTTTTTTTTTTTCTTAAAGTCAAATGTCACGCTGGTGGAATTAATATGAAGTACTGTTGAAGTTACCCTGATGGAATTTTCATATAATATAAGATGATTATTATGTTCAAGAAGGAAAGAATATACAAATCAAACGAAAGAAGGAAGGAATGTAATTAAAGCCATTGATCTGTTTCCTTTAATTTCCCACTTAATTTGTAAATGCATGATTCTTTGACAACACTGACGACTAGAGATAGAATCTTAATTGTCTTTTTTATCGCTAAATTATAATGAAGGTAAATTTGCAAGGTTCCCCATCATGAGTAATTAATTAATTTAAAATTAACATTTGACAGAACCTTCCGTTTTGTTTACGCACAGCTATTATATCTATTTGTTTTATATTCATCTTTTCGAGGCAATCTTGCTTTGTGAAATGGAAGGATCTGAACTGACACGCAAATTGCTGTACCAACTTGGATGCATGTTACCTTGTAATTGTTGCCTTAATGTAGCAATCCTAGGAATTAATTACAGACTTAAATTTCTAGATTATCCTTTCACTCTGTTGATATTAACTTTGTAATATCGCAAAGAAATATGAATCCCCTCTGCGTTTGGGTGTTCAGATATTTTAGTTGGTTTAAAATTTACAATTTGTTTCTAAAAGTTACAGTGGCAAATTGGATTTTGGGGAGGATTGCTAATAGTTTGTTATGAGTTTTTTCTTTACATTATTTATGGACCATTTTCATTTTAGATAGTATGTCCATTTCCTGAACATTGAACAATGATTATGAAAGATTTGGTGTAAAAAAAGTAGGTGTCATTTTCGGTTTGGGAGAGGTGAAAAGTCAAGAGAGGTTACATTAATTTCTCATGTTTTATTATCAAATTGGGTTTTCAGATGCGTCCTTGCTAGGTAGATAATTCAAGTAAGAATCATTGAAATCAAAATCTTACCATTTATATGTTTAAATAAAGGTAATGATGACCCATCATTTTTTTCTTACCAGAACAAAGCTGAAGAAGTTCTCAATGTCTCCCAAATTCAGCCTAACTTGGCTCCGGTCAATGATTCTTCTGTTCCTCTAAGGATACCTAGGCAGCCAAGAAAGTTCAGCATCTTAGATAGAACCGAAGCTGGTCTACTACAAGCTCGAGCTGCAATTAGAGAAGCAAGAAACGGGAATCAAACACAAGATAGTGACTATGTTCCAGTAGGACCAATGTATTATAATGCTAATGCATTTCACAGGTAAATAATGCACTGCTTTATTTTTTCTCTGTTCAACTGTCATCCCATAACATACCTAATATCAATTAGACCCTGTCCAATTTTTGGATTGAGAGTAATGTTCACAATCAACAATAATCAATTAATGAATGACCATGTAGGCCTGTCCACGTCTTTCAATACCCCAAGCACAGTAAGTAATGAATACTACTGCTACACACAGAACTAGAACCTTGTACTTTTGAACTTAATTTACTGTTTATGGTTTTAGTATAATTCACTTAATTTATCTTTGCAAAACTGCTATGACAGGAGTTACTTAGAAATGGAGAAACAGTTCAAAGTATACGTCTATGAAGAAGGGGAGCCCCCAGTTTTCCATAATGGACCTTGTAAAAGCATATACTCCATGGAGGGAATTTTCATCCATGCTATTGAGATGAATGACCAATTTCGAACAAGAGATCCAGAGAAAGCACATGTGTTTTTCCTTCCTTTTAGTATAGCAATGATGGTTCAATTTGTCTATGTACCTAACTCTCATGATTTTGGCCCCATAAAAAAAACTGTCTCGGACTATGTCAATCTCATTGCTGAAAGATATCCCTTTTGGAACCGAAGCCTTGGAGCTGATCATTTCATGCTATCTTGCCATGACTGGGTAAATACATCACTATTACTTATTCATAATCCCTACATTATTGACTTTAGAGGGACAAGTACTAATGCTATGTTGCACAAAATTTTCATTTTTTTTTAAACTTGTATTTCAGGGGCCAGAGACTTCATTTTCTGTTCCTAACTTGTACAAGAATTCGATTCGTGTACTCTGCAATGCTAACACCTCTGAGGGATTCAAGCCTGGAAAGGATGTATCTTTCCCAGAAATCAATCTCCAATACGGTTCAACAAATGGTATCATTGGTGGGCCATCTGCATCTAAACGTTCAGTTTTGGCTTTCTTTGCTGGGGGGCTTCATGGTCCCATTAGGCCTATTCTTCTTGAGCACTGGGAAAACAAGGATGAAGACCTTCAGGTTCACAAGTACCTTCCAAAGGGTATGTCCTACTATGATATGCTGAGGAAGAGCAGGTTCTGCCTTTGTCCAAGTGGGTACGAGGTAGCTAGTCCGAGAGTAGTGGAGGCAATCTACACAGGGTGCGTTCCAGTGCTCATTTCAGATCATTATGTACCTCCATTCAGTGATGTTTTGAATTGGAAAGCATTCTCCGTTGAGGTTTCAGTGAAGGACATTCCTAACTTGAAGAAAATTCTATTGAGTATTTCTCCAACGCAGTATATAAGAATGCAGAGAAGAGTAGTACAAATTAGGAGACACTTTGAGGTACATTTTCCTCCCAAGCGATTCGATGTGTTCCATATGACCCTTCATTCTGTTTGGCTTAGAAGATTGAACTTCAGAGTCCACGATGATCAATAACTCTCGTAGATTATGACCAAGTTTGACAAATTAGTTTCAACAGTTTCAAATTGACAATGTAAGATGGTGTGATTCTTTTCCTGTACCTTATATAAAATTGTTAAGGTAAAAATAAAATTCCACTTTCCCATATTGAATGCCGGTGTCTATTATTTCCTATTCCTGATTAGACAAAATAATTTTGCATATCGCATAGAATTTAAATTGTTTTAAAATATCATTAGTGAAGTTTAGTGTATTATTCAATTGAGTGGATCCCAATTTAGTACAATGAATGTGTAAGGATAGTGATGTCCAAATAAAATAAAATATGACAATTCTACTTCTTTGGAGAGTCTATTCGAAACCACCTGAATTGAGCCTTAACTTGTGATTTTAAAATTGAGAATCCCGTCGTAGTGAAGTATAACTACATTCTTAAGAAATACTTTTGTTTACATCAATGGATATAATAGGCACATAAAAAGATTGAAATAAAATTTTGCACGCTTTCAACAAAAATAAAAATAAATTGCATTACGTGCGCTTCACTTCAACCCGAATGATATTCATTAATATTTTACTTGAGCTTCTATTCAAATAACATACGAAGACTTGTGCCTGAAATATTAATTTAATAGTTTTTGCATTTAAATGAAAAAAAAAAATATTTGAGGAAAAAAATGTCTGAGACCCAAATAAGCCTTCTTAATATCTAAATAAAATATTCGAACTAGATCTCTTATAATTTTTTTATGTATTTATTACTCATTAATAACGTAATTATAGTGTTATAAAATTAAATTGTATACGTCAAACAATTTATCAATAGAAACTTTTTTACCCGGGATGAATAATGCTATTTGGTACAAAATATTTTTTACGAAAATTAAAATATGAATAAACTGTGACTAATAAAGATATAGATGACCGTATATAAGTGGTGAAAGTTAGGAATGTATACATCAAAATAAAGAAGAAGCATATTTCATACTTAAACTAATCAAATACGTATATTATTCAAGGGTTTTATAAAAGTTATGTTGTAGGAAAAGTGATGGTGTAATGTTATAGAAATTCGTTTTGTGTGTCATGATTCTTTTTTCTTCTTTTTTTTGGGGTCCCCACAAAATATTATGTGGGTAAAAATTTTTGTTGTGTCATATCAAATAGAAATATAAACCCCATTATTCAAAAGTAATTCGCACCGTCAGCTCACGTGTTTCTGAGCTGAACAAAAATGCACCGCTCGAATATCACAACACTTTGCCGGTTTGCCCTGAATACGCACGTGGCTGGACACGTGTACCATACCCTCTGATTCTGTCATGGATTTGCTTCAGCTTCTCTTCCACATCAAGCTTTTGCACATCAAAAATACAGAGAAAATAAAAATAAAAAATATTAACAGATTACAATTACATTACATAGTTAATTACAAGACAGATGTCTCCACCAAAGAGCATCTCAGGCTAACGTGTCACACCTTCATGCCTACTAAACATTGAGAAATTTCGTCCCACAGCCACTCCCTCCACGTGTCACTTTATTAGAAATCTTTCCTCCACGTGTCACACCCCCTTAACATCCTTCTCCTTAATGTTCATGCACGATATGCATATATCATCAAAGACCCACTTCTCTTCTCTTCATTCATCCATATAAGAAATTTCAAAAGCGAGTTCTTACTAAAATTTCTTCTTTCACACAGCAATTACAGTTGGGTGAGATTTTGTTCAATCAGGGCATAAGATCAATGGCGTCAAAGCAACAATTTAAGGAAGATAGAGCCGAGGCAGCTGCAAAGCTTGCTGCTAAAGATATCGGCGATGTGAATAGAGCAAACGAGCGTGAGGAAGGGTATACGCTGAACTCAGAAACGAACTTCAAGCAGGCACGAGCTGAGGCAGCTGCGAAGCTTGCTGCTAAGGATCTTGAAGACGTTAACATAGCAAAAAACAATGCATTGGGTGCTGAAAACCAACAACAACATCATGATCAGCAGAGACCCGGTGTAATTGGATCAATGTTTAGGGCAGCCAAAGAAGCTGTGGTTGGCAAGAATCATAATGATTCTGCCACGGGAAAGGATAAGGAGTACAAGGATTACACAACAGAGAAGGCAAAGGAAACCACGGACAAAGCAGGGTCAAAGGTTGAAGAATATACAGATTATGCTGCTCAGAAGGCAAAGGAAACAAAGGATGCAACGGCGCAAAAGGCTGGGGAGTATGCAGATTATGCTTCTCAGAAAGCAAAAGAAACAAAGGATGCAACCGTGAACAAGGTTGGGGAGAGCAAGGACTATGTAGCAGAGAAGGCTAAGGAAGCTAAGGACAAGGCTGGAGAGTTAAAGGATTATGCTGCTGAAAAAACGAAAGAAGCTAAAGACACGACAATGCAAAAAGCTGAAGAATACAGTGACTATGCGGCTGAGAAGACAAAAGAAGGGAAGGACACGACAGTGGGGAAGCTTGGGGAGCTGAAAGACTCAGCTGCTGATGCTGCTAAAAGGGCAATGGGTTTCTTCACTGGGAAGAAAGAGGAAACCAAGCAGGCCACTAAGGTTTGTTTTTCATTTTAAGATGTGATTAAATTTAAGATAATGTAATTGTGATGTGGGGTATATGCAGGAAAAGCTGAGCGAAACAGAGGAAGAAGCGAGGAGGAAAATGGAAGAACTGGGCTTGCGAGATAAGGACATTAGATCAGAAGAAGAAGGACGGGGTAGAGAAAAATTGGTGATCAAAATGGAAGAAACGCGACCGGGAGTGGTTGCAGATGCGCTTAAAGCAGCAGATGCGCTCAAAGCAGCAGATGCGGGACGAAAGGACGAAGAAGGCATCATTCATGTGGAGCGCCGTCGTGAGAAAATGTGATAATATATATTTGCAATGCAAAGTTTCCCGGTTAATGTAATGCACTTCCACTTCATCTTCTTTTTCTTTTTTTCTTTTTTTTTTTCCAAGTATGTATCGTTTTTTGGTTTTTGAGTTAGACATGAAAAATGGGGAGTAAATAGCTTCTGTTTGGTAAGAGAATGGTATTTGTTTTTGGTTTTGGCTCCCTGATTGTTACGGTGGGTACGCAGCGTTACAAGTCCAGGCTTTTACATAAAAAGATAGGGAACGAGTAAATTGGGCTATTTTTTAGTTTTTGTTATGAGTTGGGCCTATAATTATAGAGGTTTTTTTTTGGTAGGGAGAAATTAAAATATATAGCTGTATTCACGTCCAAAATGGACCTTATCATTCACCCTACAAGGTCATAATTTTTTATATTTGATTTCAATAATTTTTTTGCAATGACATCTCATTAGGATATTTTATCCTTCACAAACATATTTTGAATTTCCAACAATTGTACATAAGAGAGCTTAAATCCATAAGCCTCGGAGTTTTTTTCCAACAATTTGCAACTAGAACCTCCTTAATCATATTGGATTGTATCATTAGAATATTTATTTAATACAGTTATTTCAAATTGACTTGTGATTTTAAATCACAAATTAAATATTTTTATTTTTTATTTTAATAATAAATTTTTAGATTTTTTTACTTTAAATCACAAACCAAAATTTTATTTATTTTTACATTAAAATTTTTATTCTTTTTAATTTAAATAACAAACCAAATTTTTATATTTTTATATTAAATCACAAATCCAGAACTTGGAGGCTTCTGGGTTTATATGAGAGATAGAATATTTCAAATGAGATTTTCTTGAAAAGTTTTGTGGAATCAAAAAAAAATTACTTGATTTGGATACCTGAGTCAAAAGTTATGACCTTTCAATGTTTTACGATTCGTAAATTGATTAACACTAGACGAGTCACGCTTAAATTAGGTGCGAATGTTTTGTGAGTCACACCTAACTTAAGCGTGAATGGTTATACTTAATTTGGGCATAAATGAATACAATAGATAGTAAATAATTTTTAAATAACTATATACTCATAATTATTTTTTAAAATAGTAATATTTAAAAAAAATTCTAGAGTTTGAATACATAATATATCCATCATGTAGTTGGATAGGTTTGGTCGTCAATCAGCACCAGAATGTTTCTAATAAGTCGTCAAACTAGTCTTAGAGTCCGTTTGGATGAGCTTTTTTTTCTTCAAAAGCTGCTTTTTTTAAGAAAAAATAGCACTTCTCGAAAAAAGTTTTTTTTGGATGCCTGCTTTTAAAAAAAGCAGAAGTCATAAAAAAAATCAAAAATTTACTTTTTTCGAAAGCTAAAAATTTTAGCTTCTCAAAAAAGCAGAAGTCAAAAGTCAAATATTTTTTTAAAAATCTAAATAACTGTAACTTTTATATAAAATACTTTTAAAATAAAGAAGTGATAAAAAGGACTTTTAAAAAAAGTAAATACAAACGGGCCCTTAGCAGACCTAAGAAAAAGAAGGCCAAAAGCCCGAACTATACTACACAGTGCACACAATACAAATCACCTGCTTCCTACAACAGAAAAGCAAGCATACTTCCTTTTCTTAGGGAAATAAGGAGAATGAATATATTTATAAAAATTACTTTCCTTGGCTTCCTTGCTTACCAAAAAAATAAATAGGGATAATAAATTCTTCAACTTTTTTCCGTTCGTGATACTAAAGGATGCCTAGAGAAGGATTGTCATTTAAGCCCACATTAAAGGTCATAACCATATTGTTTGTGTCAGATGAGATCTTAATCTCTCATTTAGCCAGACCCATAATAAATGAGATCTAATGTAGTCTCATGTGGCCAGGTCAATAGCAGAAATGAAATATGCCTCTGCCAAAATGAAAATAAATAAATAAATAAATCTAAAATGCACATAGATCTCTCCTTTTTCTTTTTCTGGCAAATCATAGATCTCTTCTTATCTTTGTATAATTAAGATTCAAATTATACCTATTTTATTCTTAAGAAAACAAGGACATCAAGGCAAGAATATGCCTTTATTTTTTTTTTGGAGTTACCCAACCCTAATTATCTCTTTGAGACGAGTTGGCTTCCTCCAGTATCCCCACGAGCTTCGACTCTTTGAGCCGGCTATGGGACTAATCCGGAGTGCGGGAGAACAGTGATGGCTAAAGGTTCAGCCCCCTCCCCAAGAATGCATTCAGCGGGAATCGAACACATATCCAACCCCACTAACTCAGCGCCAAATTACTAACTGAGCTGCACCCATTGGGTAAGAATATGCCTTTATGATTTGACATCACTCCGCTGTTATTGATTAAGTATTCAAGGCAAAAAAATTAAAATAATGTATTTAAATTAAATAATTACGTATTTAATGTTGTTTCGTAAAAAATTACAAATCTACTGCACAATGTGACGCCAGTTTTGGGCGTCACATGTGACGCCCCAATGGGGTGTCTTATCCATGGGAGAGACGCCCCAATGGGGCGTCACATGTGTAAGGTGATCGTCATCTCACCTTGGGTCATGTGAAAGGTATGTGTCTCTGGTCTCCACCTCTCGACCAGAGCACTAATTAAAAATGTATCTATCTGTGATAAATTACGCAGTTATCATGTGTTAACGAAATTTATTAAATAATTACATAAATACAAAACGACATAAATAACATACCTGGATATGTTGCATCCTGGCAACATGTATGAAACCCGCCTGTCTGAGGTACTCTTCCACAACCTGTGGAATAGCGCCGGTAGGTGGGCCCCCTTGTGGCTTCCCACGCCTAGTCTTAATCTTTCTTACATGCTCAGTATTCCACACTCGCTGTGAAATATGACCTTTCTGCGTCCTCTGACGAAGGACCTCCCACTTGTAAGGTCCAGGTATGATCCACATGCTGGGATCGGTGGGCTTTACATCTGAATCAGATCCCGAAGAAGATGATGACTCAACCATTATCCTCAACTAACTACAAAGTTATGCACTCCCGCATTAATAACATCATACATACGAAATTTACAAAGTCTCTAACACTATTTATAAATCACTAATTAATATGCTAAACCCTAATACATAATTAAAAATCGGTAATAATAATAATTACGTAATAATAACATTACTATATCACTACAACATTCATAGCATGACACAAAATTTTTAAGTGACTATCCTAATGTTCCAAGTCTCTAATATACAATCAATCCTAACATGTATTACTAACTAGCACTGTAATTTAAATGTATACATATGAGGTATTATGACCTTACCTACGATGGCAGAGCTTCGCTACGAACCGCGGTTAGAGAGAGGTTAGAGAGGTAAATGAGTAAGGAGTGAAAAAAGGAAAGTGGGGTATATATAGGTTGCACATGTGACGCCCAAAGAGGACGTCTCATTGTGCAACAGATATGTAATATTTAACAAAACAGCATTAAATACGTAATTTTTTTAATTTTTTTTTGCCAAGTATTCAATCCAAAACATGGATACAAGTTTGTGGATCGAAATTAAGCAAAAAATCATTTTAGCTATATCAATTATCAAATGAATTCACGTGAAAACAATAGACCATACATTTGCCAAAGAAATTGTATTAGACATCAAAATTTAAAATTTTCATTTTTCTTTTAAACTCGAATCGATCATGAACCCTGTCGAGGTTCAATCGGTTAAATTTAATTTAATTTAATTATATAATAAATATATTAAAATGAGCATTTTGGCTGCTATCTTACAAATGTTTTGTACAAATTTTCAAAAACTTTTGAGGTTTGTAATTGTGTAACCGTCTAACCGATTCAGGGCCGGTTTTTGGGTCAGTCTAATTCAATTCTAATAACAATGATTTAATGTATTGCTTAACTTGAAAATTAGTTTAATTTTAAACTTTTATAAGTCATTAATATTCTATGAAGCACTGACACTTCAAAATCCTTAACGTGTCGTGTCCGACACTTTTCGATACTCACCGACACTCCGACACTTTAATACTCGTTGCAAAGACTCAAAAAAGGTTCAAAGGTTACGTTGCGTACTTGCGTTGCATTTTGAGTTTCAACTATTAGATTCGTTGGATTATTATTATTATTTTATTCGAGTTTAATATAAATATTTGGGATATCTTATATTTATTTGCAAAATTGATGGATATTATAAGTTTAGCTTTATTTTTTGTTGAATTATTGAATATTAAATATAATATACACTACATAAATTAAAAATATTATATAATATCAAAATGTGTCCTAACGTGTCGAAATTTAACATTTTTTAAAATTAACGTGTCGGAATGTCATATCGTGTCGTATCCCGTGTCTCGTATCGGTGTCGGTGCAACATAGTTAATATTGATAAAAAAAAATTATGGAAAATATAGAATTAAGATTATATGAAAAAAGAGCACCATTATTTAGGCTTACTTGTTTTTTTGTTTTTTTTTTTATAGCCAGGCTTACTTGTTTTACTTTGTTGATGACATGATTTTTGTTTTACATAATTTTCTGTTCACAAGTATTATTGAGGTAAGTTATGGAGTGACTATTTTAGGTGAATGCTTTGATCATGACTTAATCCAATTTTTTATCAAAATAATAAAAATTACAATTGATTACCGCCACACTAATTATAAAAATTATAACAAAGGTATCTTAGGGTCACACTCGAGGGATGGTAAATGATTTCATTTCTTTTTGAAGATTCCGTATCTGTTATTTTTGCGAGCACAGCTGAAGATTCTCCATCCTAGTCGTGTTCATGGGCCAAGGCCAACTTGTCGTTTCGAGCTTTGGATTCAAGTTGTGAATAACTTCCAAAATTTTCAGATCTTAGTTTTCACCTCATGGTCGTCGCCATCTTCGAGTGCAGGGCAGTGCAACAGCAATGATTGGCCCACTTATGTCTTTGCATTATAGACAGCGTCTACTGTGAGATGTAACCATTTTTTGTCATTTCCTTCTTTCTTCGTTGTTAAATGA